AAATTTATTTAATACAAAATGAAAAAATTTCTAAAGCAGAATTGAAGAATGGAAATAATTAAGATCTTTAGTAAAAATGTCTATTCTTGTAGTACGTATTACATTCACCTGACCACGTGATCACGTGACATTTGTCTCCCTTACGTCGAGGGGATTCCGTTAGCGCACATGCGCACACATCAGCCGCTACTTAGGAATTTTCCAATGGACCACCAATCAGAAAATTTTATATTTAATTGGCCAATCAGCGTTGTGTGCTATTGAATCCCTCTCAATGGAGCAAAGTACAAATTAATAACTAGATCTCTAATTGTAATTTTGTACTTTTGCTTCATCTCCCAATGAGAAGTTAGTATGTATTGATGCGCAGACGCGAATTTGTTTTGCTCTCCGGCAATACTGGCATAAATGTCGGATGGAGATCAGACATATTGGGCAATTAGTCGGTTAAATAATAAGTTTTCTGATAGGTGAATTCACTGGAAAATTCCTAAGCATCGGTCGATGTGAGTGGTGTGTCCGATTAAAAATGTGTGCATCTAGGATGCTCCCTAAATGTTTATGGTTGTAACATTGCACGTGATGTATGACGTGATTAATCGATGTACAACTGATGAACAGAAAACAGAGTTTGCTTTGCTTAGAAAAACTTTTTTCGCGGAATTAAAATTGTTTTTCTATCAAGTATAATGGCTCTTCATTCCGCAGGAAAAGGTAAACTTCTAGCGGTGATTGGCGACGAAGTAAGTATAAGTATAAAAATTATTGATAACTTGATCAGAGTAATTGATATAATAGATATTTTATTCTTTGCAAATTTTTTTTATAAAATAAAAAATTGAATCGAGGCTATTTGTTACACGAAATTTATTAGAAGTTATTTTAGGACACTTGCGTGGGTTTCTTATTAGGTGGAGTTGGAGAGATCAATAAGCATCGTCAGCCCAATTTTATGGTTGTTGATAAAAGTATGTAATCACATATTTTACAATAATTTTTGTACGTAGACAGTAATTATTTCTATTGTTTTGAAAAAGTGGAAGATTTATTAGTTGTCATCTATTATTTTTGCAATACTATAAAACATGCATGCATTGGTATTCTGTATAAAATATAATAATCTGTGATATATAATTATAATATATTGCAAAATATCTTATATATATATTTGTATATATTAAAATTAATTATGATGATATAAACTAAACTAATTATAAAATAATTTTTATAGATACAGCGATAAGTGAGATAGAAGATACATTTAAACGCTTTATCAAACGTGATGACATTGATATCATTCTTATTAATCAAAATGTAAGACAAAATGATTGTTTTCATCTTTTTTTATTGATATTTATTTTTATAACTATATTTATCAAAACAAAATGATTTTATAGAGTAAGTAATGTTTTGATACATTCTTTAATTTAATATTTAATGATTATTTTAGGTAGCTGAAATGATTCGTCATGTAATTGATAGTCACACTCAACCAATACCCGCTGTGTTGGAAATTCCAAGCAAAGATCACCCATATGATGCCAGCAAAGATTCCATCTTGAGACGTGCTAAGGTATGACAATTTTATCTATGACTAATTAGCAAATGATAACTATATTTTATTTTAACTTACAATATTTTTTAGACAGGAAATCTTATTTATTGCAATTGTTTACAGGGAATGTTCAATCCAGAAGATATTCATTAATATAAATGTGGCACTATAAGGATTACTATGCAATAAAATAAAATTATATTTGTTCTGTTATTGTATTTCACGTCTTTATCTTTGTTATTTAGTGGAAATAATATAAAATTGTTTGCATGAAAATGAATGAAAAATAATAGACAGAACTAGGGTTTTTTGTTATTTGAAAGTGTACATGTTTCTCGTAAATATTTGTATATATACATAAAGTAAATTTCATGCTAATTGGCCTCTGTGGGATTGTGCTTCATACCAGATAAATAAATAGTGAGTTAATCCAAAAACACAGTATCCATTTATAACACTGTAAATCATATAACAAACTATTTATTTTGTTTGTTGCATATCAAATTTGCATGCAAGGAATATTAATTGAATGTTGATTGACTAAGCAGAGAATGTGATTACTATTATGCTTAGTCAATTTATTTTTGCTTACTCTTTATTCTGCTTAGTCAATTTCACATTTAATTATGTGATTATGGTTATGACATAAAATATAAAATATCTTATACATTCATATTTTGATAATCATCCTAATATTTTTGTGCCCAAATGGCAAAATAATGAAATAAATCGATTGAAATAGAGGAAGCATGTAATTATTTCTGAAAAAGTATTTATATATCACTAATTGAATTTTAAAAAAATGATATATCTTTATTATACTAATAAATTTACCTTATTATTCTTATTAAAATGATTATCAAAAAAAGATAGTTTATAAACTATTTTATATTTTATATCAAAGTATGTCAGAACATAATATAAAATGTCTCAAACTATTGACTCTTTTTGGTGAATGTATCTTTTATATTCAGAATAACCAGAGGAATCGTATTAGATAACAAAAAATTATAATTCATAAAAAAATGACAATCATAAAAATTTCAACAGTAATTTCCATCAACAATAATTTCCATTTGCAAATAAATTAATATAATTATGTGTCTTTCCACGAAATTCTTTAGTTGGAACACTTTTTATGCACACTGCATCATATTTTACATATCAACATTTTACAAATATTCGGTATACAATAATGTTAAAAAATAACTAACATTGTTAATGAATAAATAATAAAGAATAACATTAATAATACTGTAGCACACAAAAAAACGAAACATTTTCGACGAATCACAAAAAACATTCTTTTATATAAATCTTAGGTTTCTTTGCAAATCGCAAAATTTTTGGCAAATATTTCATATTCATATATTTTGCTGAATCGTAAAATTTTCGTCCTCTGCTTAGTCAATTTCACGTTCTTCTCTCGCAGACAAGAATAACTTCTGTACAATATGAGTAATTTTAACTGAAAATAAAATAAAGTATAATTTAAATATACAAGTAGTTAAATAGCAGTAGTTAAATAGTAGTAGTTAAATAGCTAAAACTTCTAATTTTAATTCTTTACTTCTGTAAATCTCTACCATTTCTGACTACCTTCCTACTTTATATTATTTAATTATACATGCTATTATAATTGAAAAGAAAATTCAGATAAAAAGATTAATATAATAGGAGATATATATTATACAACAATTAACTGTATAAATATTGAATAAATTTAATAAATTGCACTTGTTGAAATTACGAACTATTAATTTCCTGGAACCACAATGGTTTGTTTTTCCAAGCAACACCAAAGAAGTAAGCAGGTATGCCGGACACAGTGATCAGAATACCCATACCAACTTCATACGGTCTTTCGTAACATGGTACAACAACCAAAAAAGTGCATAATGCTACAAATAGAATAGGTATCCATAATGGTACCTGAAAAAAAATTTCATTAATTTCAGTATATATGATTTTAACTTCTGTGTATGATATACGTGCACGCGCATGTGTGCGCAAATGTGTGTGCATGTATGTACAAGATGTCCCATTTTAAATGATTTTAAATATCTTGAACAACGCATTTTAAAGAAAAATATTTCATATAAAAATTGTAGGGTTTCAAAGGAACCATATGGGATACATTCCGTTTCTTGCATAATACATTATTTATTCTTGTTTAACATGTAGCGAATAATAAGGATAAATGATATATATGCAAAAATAGAATGTATTCATTTTATTATAATATTGATTCATTTGCAGATATTGCCATTGTCAAGATTCCTTTATGATGCCCATTTTTTAATGGAATTATATATTTTTTGTTACATAATATGATTCGAAATTTGTATGACTTTTGTTAACAATTTGCTGTCACATTTCATCAATAAATTTTGATATATTTTTGCTGACATTGACGAATATAACAAATTCTGCATTATGTTTAATCTTTTGGCTAAGAAAATTTGTAACATTTGACAAATTTTGATTTGACTAGGCTCTCTGGAGTATTAAGGTATAGTTAACAAAAAATGAATAGTTTACGAAATATTTTATATATCAGAATACAAGAAAAAAATATAAATTTTTCATAAGTTATTGATTTTTAATATTTGTACCTAACATTTTTTTTATCTGAAATAACTAATAATATATAACAAAAAATATACATTATTTTAAAAAAATATAATCACAAAAAATTTCGACAGCGGCGTCACCTACAAATGTATCAATATCATAATTATGTGGCTTTCTCGAAACCTGACCAGTTTTATATGAGATTTTTCTTTAATATAAAAGGATATTTGAATTTTTTTTATTTAAAATAAAATATACATACATAAAGCATATTACCTTGATTGGTCGTTCCATATCAGGCCTTTTATAACGTAACCATAAAATTCCGGCTACAGAGATCATGATGAAAAATGATTCTACTATACTGCAATATGTAATTAATACAAATATATCACTCGTGCATAACATTATGAGAGATAAAATACACTGCAAATATAAAAAATATTGAGTTACTGGGAGTGAGATATTGAAATATGAAAAGGTAGAAAAAAACAAGTTCATTTTAATACACATTATAAGAAAAAAAGCATTTAATTTTTCTTCTTTTAAGATTCTATAATCCAATGGTAATTGTGAGAGATTAGATTCTTAAAAATTTCAATTGACACAAATAGCAGATGTAATTACCATCGTACTTACTAAAAATATCAAGGCAGGCGTAGGTGTAAGTTTTGTCATGTTGATATGGCTTAACATCGAAGGGAAATGACCATTCCTGGCACCGACAAAGCACATTCTAGATGATGTCATAATATGAACGCTGAGTCCTCCAAAAGCAGATACAGCTACCATTACAGGAATTGTCCAAGCCATAAATCCAAGAATTTGATTGCCGAAAGTCTAACAAAAATATCTTTTACAAAATTCTAATAATGCGTTTAACTGATGGATTATTATATATCGAATAAAAATATTACTTACTACAGCAATAGCATTGGAAGCAATCATAACAGTCGGAGTTAGAACAGTCAGATAAGAAATATTTGCCATAACGTATATCAAAGTCACTAGTGGCAGTGATATGTAAATCGCACGTGGCAAATTTCTGGGAAATTATTTAATTCATAATTAGATAATCAAGGAATCATACATTTCAATATTTCAATTATTTTTCCTCTCTTATAAAACATAAATTAACTTATTTTTTCTAAATAATACAACTTACATGTAAGGATCTTTTAGTTCTTCCGTCATAAAATTCAAATAATTCCATCCCGAATAAGAAAATATGCCAGAATAAAAGGCTACAGCAATTTTGCCAGGATCAGTATTTGTGTTTTCAAAACTATTTTCAAAATTTTCCCAATGTCCTAATTAACACAACAAATTCTGATTAAAAGACAATATTAAAATCAGATTCATTACATCAGATTCATAAACATACCTATACACAACCAGACTAATCCAGCTATAATAATTATCACTAATGCTCCAATTTTAGCGAACATGAATATATTCTGCATCTTTGAGGTTTCTCTTACGCCATAACAATTGATGAATGTGAGTATGCCTAAATATAAATGTCAATTTAAGATTTTATAAATTAAATTATGACTAAAATCTTTCTCAAACATAAAGTATATATTTAGATTATCCAGAGTTGAGTGATAATTAGTTAAAAAAATTAAAAGTTTTTAAAACTCTCTAAATAAAATTTCTTTTCTAAGAATCTCTAAAAATTAAAAATTACTAATAAAATTGAAAAGTTAATAATTTTTAACTTTGGTCATTTTATATAAACTTAATTTACAAATAAAATATTAAATTTATTTGATGATCCATATTGTAATTGTCTTGTTATTTAGAATACTTTAATTTAAAAAAATTACAATATTTTAATTTAATATAAATGATGTTTTCTAAAATCACTTTTGATTTAACTTAATTTTTATGTATCTTTTAACTAAATTAATTATAGTTTTTTGTTCATATTTTTAACGTAACTAAATTAATTTTCTAAATTATTAATTTTAACTGAATTTAGTTAAAAAAATAATATTAACTTATTCAATTCTAAGATTATTTAAATCTTTTTATGTATTTAGTATTGTAAAATCTCTATCACTGTTTTATGTAATATTTAAACTATCTAACTTTATATCTAGATGTAATTACGATTTTTTGAATGCATGTTTGTAGCTAGATATAACATGTTGCAAATTTTCATCTATATATTTTTTTTATATATTACTGTAATCAAAATGACATGAAATTTTAGACAGAGATTAGAAACAGTCCAACTAATCTAAAAAAAAAAAAATATTTCTTCGATATGTTAGAAATGCGCAAATGAGCTAATCCTGATACTTTTTAATCACAGTAATATATATCAACACTTATAGAATTGGATATTGTATCTTTAATGACACTAAAATCTCACATATACTCAGAGCAGCAATTAATCGCACACCATCGTCTGGAGTGGCACAATTGGGAAAAAATGGTTGTACGACATATTGAGCAAACGTCAATCCCATAATAGCATTTGTTGTAGGTCTATAAAAGATAAAAATATGCTTTTTTTAATATATCTTGCATATTGTTTGATAACATTTGATTTAAGATCTACTCACACAAAAATTAAGTTAGCGGCCCATAAATACAAAAATGAAGGCAATGCACCAAAGGCTTCATGAATGTAAGCATAATCTCCTCCACTGCGAGGTATACTAGTGCCTAACTCTGCATAACACAAGGCACCTACCATAGAGAGTAAACCACATAG